GCAAATCAAGCTCTTCCGAATCCAAAGATCTTTGAGATTGGTTGAGTGGTCACACTACTACTTTTCCTTCTTTGACAGTTGACGCCTCCCCCCTTTCCACGTAGCCATCAGTTAGACACCCTCCATTGTAGTGGATTTCTTGGCGCACGCTTGACCTTGCTTGTATCGCATTCGCGTGATGCTTCAGACGGAACTAGTTGATTTTGATAAAATGAGGCTATCTTTCAAAAAAAAGATGTGAAAACTCATAATTACATATTGTAAGGACTTGCTGATAAGGAGAGTGATGGCGAATTTGGCTGAGTGAATTTGGAGGGTGAAAGATGGGATTATTGGATTCAGAACTAGAAGCTATCAGTTTAAATGTAAAATGAGTAGCAAACTCGTCGAGGGAATAATTTGCGGGATAGTTGAGGGAATGCCCCCAAAACATGGTCAATCCGTCTTCCCACTGTCCCAATTTTCGAAACGGTGGGTGTGGGATTTCTGCGGATCCAACAAATGCTGGTGTCGTCCGCTCTCTCCTACATTACCCTTTTACTGCCTCTCTGCTGGCAAACGCTACACTGCACACACGCATCCCCGTTACTCCCATACCACCTGGGATCAATAGCGGAAAGGGTCTTTTTGTACGAGTTTCCTTCACCCTCTCTAGATTCCCATTTCTTCATTGATGGTGATCCTCATTCCTTTGATTTCATAGGTATTAGGTCAAAATTCATATCAATGATGACCGAGGTGGTGTAGTGGCAAGAAGCGCACTGTCACATGCATGGTCAGAGGATCGAATCCCGGATCTGTACCTGCCCAGGCAGGTTCATTTATTCGTGGTCGGCTAACTGTCCCATGCATGGTCAGAGGATCGAATCCCGGATCTGTACCTGCCCAGGCAGCCTTTCATTCATTCGTGGCCGGCTAAATGGTATCAGGCCCATCTGGAAGGATAAAAGCATTGACTATACATTGGCTGGCCACCGCAAGTAATTGTGTTGGCCACACACGCATTCAATATGCCACTTCGATTTTGAGCTAGGGACGAGTGCAAGGGCCCATCCCACGAAGGGAATGATCAACGCCAAAAATCTCCATTCTGATCATTTTTTATTTCTTCCGGCGTAGACGGCGTACCAACAAGACGCTAGACGAGGAATCACACTCGAGTCTAGCCTGTTTGTGTTCTCAGGCACTTTTTTGGACTTTTTCTTACTCTTTGCTTGGGCCGTCAGACCAGTTCGCAATGGTATGTTCACATCATTGACTTTTTAGTGTTTGTTTGGCAGTTATGTACGTAAATGTTATTCTTTGATTGCAACTCAGTCATCATCGAGTTATGAAGCGAGCGACAGTAACGCCACTTTTGATGACTTTTTTTTACTCAGCCTAGTCCTATTGTTCGCTATTAGTCGAGAGGTAAGAGGTTGTTCGTGTTTGAGTTAAGTGGCACTACAAGTTTCTTCTGGTAATTGTACAAGTTGCCATTGGCTGGGCCCCACAACTGAAGGTAACTGCTCATACATTTCGCCCGCTGTGAATCCAAGTAAATTTCAGAAACCAAGGGATGGAAAAAAAGAAAAAAAAAGCCTGAAAATCCTTGTTGCCCCTTGATGAAATCGGTGTATTGACTGAATTCGTCTGCTAACCAAGGTTGTCGAGTGATCCCTTTATCTCTGTTCGGCTTAAATTTCCAACTCCATCTGTGTGGAGGCGAAAAAATCAAATTAGAGCCCAAT